CCTTAGAGCAATCAATAGCATCAGCATCTTCCTCTTATTCAGGGCTTTTTCTGCACTAAGGTGTTCTGTGCATGCCCATCTGTATTATCCCCACTTTACAAATGAGGCTCAGAGAGTTGAAGGAATTTTCCTAGGGTCACACAGTTCGAAAGTACCAAAGTCAGCTTTTTAACCATTGTGGGCTACTGTCTCAGACTCCTTCTGTGACCTTGAGCAAGACTCCCCAAGCCCCAGGCTCTCTGCCTGTGAATTGATGGAGTTGGAGTAAATGTGCCCCATGAGGCCCCCTGTTTCTCCACTGGGGTCCAGATGGATTCTCTGGTAGAGGGGCTTGGTGGTCTGATGGAAGGGACCAGGGTCCTGTCCTGGAGCTGTGTTCTTCACCAGCCTGGGCAAGGTAGTTAAGAGCATAACTCTGCCAGGCCACTATCTCTGCGGAGGATACATGTGAAGATTGAATGCAGGTAACAAGGCTCAGGGAGGGCCTGGCACATAGTAGGTGCTCAGTAAGTAATAGCTCTTAGTGTAGTCTCAGAGCTAGCAAAGGCTGTCCTTTCACAATCCAACCGTTCACTCCTTCAGCACGTATTTGTTAAATCCCTTCTGTGTGCTGGAAGGACATTAGTCTTGATACTGGTTACCTAGTGATGACCCCAAAGAGCTTTAACTCCTTGCCTTCTGATATTCCAGTGGGGGAGGCAGACCAAAAAAAAAAAAAAAAAAATCAAATAAATACCATATAGAATAAGGTGGATAGTGATAAGTGCCAGGACTCACTGGGAAAGACCCTGATGCTGGGAAAGAAAGATTGAGGGCAGGAGGAGAAGGGGGCGGCAGAGGGTGAGATGGCTGGATGGCATCACCGACTCGATGGACATGAGTTTGAGCAAGCTCTGGGAGATGGTGAAGGACAGGGAAGCCTGGTGTGCTGCAGTCCATGGGATCACAAAGAGCCAGATACGACTTACCGACTCAACAACAAAGTGCCAGGAAACAAAATGAAGCAGAAAAGGAGAGGGAGAGGGAGGCAGTGTCTGGAGGAGGGTGGGGGTTGGCGGGGGTGGATCTTACATCAGGACTGGAAGGCCTCCCTGTGAAAGGGACTTGAAGGTCCTGACCTGAGCGAGGGAGGCTGATCCCTGTGGGAAACATGTCCTTGGCAGCCAGAGACCCAGGCCTGAGATCCTGAGGCTTTGGGGCAGCCTTGGGGGACAGATTGTGTAGGGTCATTTTTTTTTTTAAATGGTTCTTTTTTTCTTAATCCATTAAAAAAAATAATTTTATTTATTTATTCATTGTTGGATGCGCTGGGTCTTCCTTGCTGTGTGGGCTTTTCTCTAGTTGCAGAGAGTGAGGGTTAGTCTCTAGTGGTGGTGTGCGGGCTTCTCATTGCCGTGACCTCTCTCGTAGAGCACGGAGACACCTGGGCTTCAGTAGTTGCGGCTCCCCGGCTCTAGAGCACAGGCTCGAAAGTTGTGGTGCACAGGCTTAGCTGCTCTGCGGCATGTGGGCTCTTCCCAGATCAGGGATCAAACTGTGTCCCCTTCATTGCCAGGTGTATTCTTTACCACTGAGCCACCAGGGAAGCCCCCATAATTCACTTTTTCAATATTTTCTTGGCCACACAGCACAGCATGTGGGATTTCAGTTCCCTGACCAGGGATCAAACCCTCATCCCTGGCATTGCAAGCTCTTAAGTCTTAACTACTGGACCACCAGGGAAGTGCTATGTAGGGTCATTTTAAGGCCCCTCCCTGCTTCATGGTAAATCTACAGTGCCCTCCCCCTGCCCCAAGATTCAGGTTGCAGGTGCCTTGGGGGCGATACTGAAATCTTTCTCCTCATCATTGGGCACCACAAGCTTCCCAGCCCAGGGGTCTGGATTATCAGAAAAATCGGTTCAAGCTCTCAGGAATGGCTGCCCCTGACCCAGTAAAGAGGAACTGAAACCCAGAGCTGGACTCAGTGATTAGCTCTTCACTGACATCTTTTGTCCCAGGCCTGATTGCATTTTCTGGGTGGGTGGGTTGGTAAGGGTATATAGGGAGGGGAGCTAGGGGAACTCCAGCCTGACACATCCTTGGGCTTTAAAGTTGGTCGTTAAGTCCTGGGAGGAATCATTGAGAATCCAGTCTGGAACCCAGCCTCAGGCCCAGAGGCTGCTAGATAGAAGTTTTCCTTCCCTTTGAATCACCTCCCCACCTTGGCTGGGTTTTTCGTCCCCTCAGTTTTCTCCTGAGAGCTAAGAGGCAAAGTTCTTTAAAAGGACCCATGGGTGGTGTCAGAAGAAAGAAGGGGAGAACTTGGGCCCACAGAACAGCTAATCGGAAGGGGGTGTGGGGAGCATTCTTCTGAGGGAAAGACTGGGTGGGGACAGAGGGGAGAGGCTGGGGGCAGGCCTCGAGGCAAGGAGTCGGTCTGAAGACTGGTTGACCAGGATCAACAGTGGTGTGTGTGTGTGGAGGGGGGTCAGTTACAAGTTTTGGGATGGGAGGGAACATGTGACAAGACTGGTACGGGAAGCTGTGCCATCTGACTGTTATGTGTGTGCGTGTTAGTCGCTCAGTCATGTCTGACTCTTGGCGACCCCATGGACTATAGCCCGCCAGGCTCCTCCGTCCATGGGATTCTCAGGCAAGAATACTGGAGTAGATTTTCATTTCCTTCTCCAGGGGATCTTCCTGACCCAGGGATCAAACCCAGGTCTCCTGCATTACAGGCAGATGCTTCACCGTCTGAGCTACTAGGGAAGCCCCTAGTTAATGTGTACCTGGAGGCAAAGGTGAGGAGCCTCAGATTTCTCTCCCAACAAGGAAAAGGATAGAGGAGGATTCCATCTCCTCTATTGAGAATTGAGAAGATTAAATGAGATAGTAGCTGCTGGTTGGGGGGCGGGGGATTATCAGTCCCTTTTTGGAGAGAGAGAGCTAGGAAACAGGGCCATGTAGGAAGCCTGGGATGGTTGGCGGTGATGGAGAGGACAGTGGTGTATCCACCCTGCTTAGTGGTGCCAGGGGAGGCCCTCTGCCTGGGGACTCAGGCCTGGCACCTTGTCTTACTCAGGAGAACCTGCAGTCACAGGCAGGGTTGGCCTCCCTGGACTCTGGAAGCAGGATTCAGGGTTGATGAGATTGGGTTGGAAACAGATGACAACGGAAGGGCCTTGGTAGCCAAGCCTGGAGGCTGGCTTCTAGGACAGGTCACACTTGGGGGCCTCCAGGAGATGAAGGAGTCATCAAAATGGGCAAAACAAAGCTGACATGAGGAAACCAGGGCCCTTGAGCTGTGACCAAGTGGGTGGCTGCCACCCAGGCCGGCTAAGTGTGGCCAGGGCCCAGGGTGAGTTTGGGCCCAGAGTGGCAGTTCTCCCAGTACTTCAAGAGAAGTAGGGAATACAGACCTGTCATCTAAAATCTTTCCTTTTTTAAAAAATTTATTCATTTATTTAGCTGTGCCAGGTCTTAGTTGCCGTGTGTGGGAGCTTTCATTGCAGTGTTTGGGATCTAGTTCCCCAGCCAGGGATTGAACCTGTGCCCCCTGCATTGGGAGCATGGAGTCTTAACCCCTGGACCACCAGGGAAGTTCCAAATCTTTCCATTTTAAAACTCTGGGAATCAGTTAACAAAGCAAAAGAAGTAACAACAAAAAGCACCACGCAGGCCAGGCAAAGCCTACCACTTTTGGCCGGTGACGCTCTCTGGCAAAAGTGGCACTGAGGGCAGGTCCCCGGTTGAATGCCCCAGACCTCTCCTGGAAGACTTGTCCTCACTCTCCTGCTCCTGGAAGCGAGATCGTGACAGACTCAGTTTCCCAGGGCCCGATGGGAGAACAGAGACATCTTGGGCTGTGTGGCCCTGGGCCAACCCCTTCCCCTCTCTGGATTGCGGTTTCCTGGGCTCTAAAAGAACCCAGTCTGTGGGGCTTCTGCCAGTTTGGAGACTGTGTGACTAAGTCCTCAGGCTCGAAGGAAGATGCGATTATTATTGACGTGACTCTTCCCACCAACCATACTTCTGGGATTGGATGCAGCGCACTCCAGCACTTGTGTGTCCACAGCCATGAATGGTTGTGTGTCATAATTTGGAGCTCTGCATGGTACAGTGTAAATATCATTGTGTTAATAACTCTGCCCTGGAAGCTTTCATCCCCTGCTCTGGAAGCCAGTAGGAAGCCATAATTAATTCTTGGTGACCTGGGGAGGGGTGCAGGTGAGGAAACCTGAGCCCAGAGCTGGGAGGCAACTTGGCTAAATGTGCACCACTTGGGGGACCCTGACTCAAGTGTTGGTTCCAGGGCAGGGAAGGCAGAAACCAACCGGTGCCAGGCCGTTCCTGTGTGGGGTGGGTCATTAAACGTGTGAGGACAGGATTGGGTTTGAGGTCAGCTCTGTGCCCACGGGTTTGAGCGGGTTTGAGCTGCTGCAAGAGGAGGAAGGCAGAAGAGAAAGGTCGCTTTTGATTTTTTCTATGGAGGGGAGAAAGCAGCACAGCCTTGGCTACCTCTCTGGGCCTTTTGTCAACGTCCCTCCATCTCTTGCTGTCCTGTCAAATAGTTGGCCCCTGAGTCAACCTGGCCTGCGTGCTCAGCAGCACTCAGAGCCCTGAGGCGGAGCAAGCCCTCAACTCTCTAAACAATCTCCTTTTGCAGTAACTCACATAAACACCGGCCTTCGGAGGGGCCCACTGCTAGGGTGTGAGAGGAGACAGAACCCGGCAGAGGGGAGAGGACGGTCTGGGGTTAGAAGACCCCAGCTTTGGGGGCGCCTCCTCCTCCCCCCACCCCCACCCAGGTTTTTCCACCTGTGCCCCCCACTGGATCAGTGGTGTCCGTGTCTGTGTGCGCTTCCCGGCCCCACACGGAAGACCCCGATCCGGGAAGGCGCTTCTCGTGAGGCTAGGGCCGGGGGACCGTGTCTCCCGGCTGCGGGCCCCCAGCGGCCCCGGGAGCAAGGTGGGGCGCGGGCCCTTTAAATCCTCCGAGGCGGCGGCGGCGGGTCGGGGATGACATCAGCGGGCGGGCCCGGGGCTCAATGGGAGCCGGCGGGCGCGCGCCGCGCGGGAGCGCGCGAGCCGGCGGCGGGGGCGGTCGGGCAGGAGGGCCCGGAGGAGGGAGGCGGCGGCTGCGGCGGCGGCGGCGTTGAGAGCCAGATCCTGAACCCGGCCGGGGCGAGCGGAGCGGAGCGCGGCGGCGCGGCGGCGGCGGCGGCGGCTGGGCCGGGAGAGGCTGGCGCGGCGGGCGGCTCTGCAAATCCTCCGGCATCCGCCCCGGCGGGTCGCCCCCGCCTGCGGCAGCCCCCCGAGCAGCGGCCCGGCACCGGCTCCTTCCCGGCGGGGTAAATATTGGGGGGCCGCGGGCCGGCGGAGGGGCGCAAACCTGGGGGGAAACGGGGCTCCCTCCGCCTCTTTGTTTTTGCGCGAGAGGGAGGGGGAGAGGGCGGACACACGCGCGTTCGCACTCGGGTATGGGGGGGCTGCCCGGGCGCCGCCCGCTCGGCCCGGCGAGGACAAAGGCGCGGCTGGGGACGAGGAGGAGAGGAGGGTGACTATTTTGCAGGCTTGCCCCGGGGAGCCCCCCCACCCCCAGTCCGGCTCGTCTCTCTCTCCCCAGCTGGACCCTTCAAGGCCCCGGCCAGCCGAGGCGGCCACCCCTGGCTGCGATTTGAGGACGCTGACGCGTTGGGGGGGGGGGGTCCGGGACTGGGGTGCCGGGGACACCCGATTCTGTTGATTTGGGATTCTCGGCCAAACCTTGGGCTTCGATAGGCTTCACCAGCCCATCAGCAGCGCCCCCCACCCCTCCGCTCCTGGCTCTGGTGCTCCAGACCTGGGGGTCAGCAGGGCTGCTCCCGCGCGTGTTGGATGGGGGCGCTTGGGGGCCCTGGGGTGATGGGGTGTCTGGTCACCCAGCCACCGACTCTTGTTTTCCTTTGTGGAGAGAAAGAAAGGGGTGGGGGTTATTTATCAGATCGGATTCTCCCATTTCTGCCTGTGAGAAATCCATGTTTTGCAAGTCCCCGTGGAAGAGAAAACTATGTTTGTGCCCGGGTGTCTTTAGAGAGTGGATTCCCAAGCTCTTCACACCAAACTCAAAGTGGGGTGAGCCCCCTCCCCAACTTTTTCTCTTAGTTTTCTTGCATATATTCTTGGATCAGCCTTCCTCAGGAGAAGGATTTGGGGACAGGGCCAGGGGATCCCCAGTATCTTAAGTTGCACTCGTTCAATAAATGCCTATGTCTGGGGCTTCTTTGGCTGGCTGGCTGGGATGTCCCTCCAATTTTTATTTTAATGATCCAGGGAAGGAGGTGGGCAGGGAGTAAGAAAACTGCCCATGTGCCATTCAGCTTGGTAGTTTGTCTCATTTTTCTTAACCAGTTGCAACTCTGGAATCTTCACGTCCGCCTTTTTTATCCCCTTCATTTATTCCAGCGCCACCCCCCCTTCTCCCCCCAAAAGAAGCAGCAAAGAACTGGAAAGCCTCTCCCATTCCCGCCTCAAGTCTTTCTGCTCTCTGGGAGGCTTTTGGGAGGACAGTGCTGGGACAGTCTAGGCTCTCCTTGGGGCCCTGGCCCCTGGGGTGTAGGAGCAGCCCAGGGTGGGGGTAGGGGGTGGGTTGCCTGCAGGGCTAGTGGTTTGCACCCTCTCTTCTCCCCTTCTTTGCCGACAGCCGGGTGAGTGGGGAGGGGCTGGGGGGGTCATGTGCAGTGTATTTATGTAAGACACCCAGACGGGAGGGCATGGGTATTTATATAACCCGGCGTGGGTATTTATGTAATATAGGATGCGGGTGTATTTATGTTCCTTTCCGAACCTGCGGCTTCCCCGGCTGCCATGTGTGGTCTCTGAATTGGCGTTGGCGGAAAATGGACTGGGGGGGTGGCGGTGTTTGTGTGTGTACACACCCGCGTCCCCCCGCCCCCACCCCCCACCCCGTGCCCTCCCCCCAGCGGGGCTCCTGGTACACGTCTGCGTTTCTTTCTTCCTTTGAAGTGTCCACACAGGATGGTGTGTGTGTGAGGTGTGTGGCGGGTGAGTTTCCCGCAAATGTGGAGTGGGTTCTCCTGGCCGCCCTGGCACCTCCGCTGAGACTGGCCGGGCCGTGTGGGCAGAGGCCCTTGGTGGAGAGCCCGGAGTTTGGCCGGCGCGGGGTGGAGGCCCCTTCCTTGTGACCACTGCTGAAGGGCTAGCGGCGGCTCCCTGGGAACTGGCGCTGGGGTGGACGTCTCTCCCGGGCAGGAGCTGTCGGCTCCTTGTCTCCACCCCGGTGGGCAGAGACTGACCACGACCTCGTGGAAGAAAGCTCTCCTCCCACCTCGCCTCCCAGGTGGGTCTGGCTTTCCTGGTCTTCCTTGGTGTGGGGAAGGGGCCGAGACTCTGGGCTGTTTTTCCCCCTTCCTGCGTGGCCCCCTGGCCCTGGCATGAGCGGGTGGGTGGGAAGCCGCCAGGTCGGGCAGCAGGAGCCCTGTCTGGGCCTTAGGGGAGGAGACTTGCTGCTGGAGGGCAGGCGGGCTGGCGGGCAGGCGGCGTGACCTCCCTGGGCCTGAGTTCCCTGTCTATAGAGAGTGGCCCGTCTTCCTAGTTGTCCACACTGGCTGTCTTGTAGACACTCTATGATCTTAGTGGACTCCCCCACAACCCTCTCCTTGTTTCATAGGCCCCCCAGAGCAAGACCTCACCTCCCAGCCTTGGAGTTTCCTCCCCTGCTGGCCAGAACCTCGAATGTGCCCAGATCTTTGCCCCAGGCCAGAGCAGAGGGGTCCCTCCCAGGGTGGTCCCTGCTAGCTCAGAGAGCTTGAGAGAGCTTGGACACCCAGAGTGGAGCACAGCAGGGAGGCAAGTGCTCAGATTGGCACTTTCCCCCAGACCTCCTCTCATCCCAGAGAAGCTGACGGGCGGCTCACAACTTGGCTTTGGTCCCCTCGGTTGCTCTGCAGGGCTTTCTTAGGAGACCCTCCAAGTCTTGAAGAAAGTCAGCCCCAAACTGTCTGTTTATCCATAGAAGGCCGTGCAGAGAGTCCTATTGCAGTTCTTGGTGTTGCGAGGTTGAGAGAGGGAGAAGACTGGAAGCTGGATGTTCTGGGGGCCCCTTTCCGACCTTCCCCCTGAGTTGGGGAGATCTCTCTTTGCGGGGCCCAGTGCAAACTTGCAGAGTCTACCTCTGGGAAGACCGGTGCAGGTTGTGGAGACCTGGCCTTTGGTTCTTGGTGCTGGAAGCCTGGGGTGGGAATGGGGCCATTGGGACCCCATCATTTCCAAGTCCTAAGGGGGCTGAGGAACTCCTTTGGGGACCCTCTGTTCACTCTGTCCTCCTGTCCCTGGAGGTTGGAATTAGCTGGTGGTTGCCATGGCAGCAGCCCCAAGGTGATCAGCTTCTCCATCTGCCCTCTCCATCACCCGCCCTGTCCTTGATTTTCCTTTCAGGGTCTTTGCCCATTGTGACTAGCCTGCCCCAAGAGGCTCCTATTGGAGGGTCCCCAAATGCATGTCCCCCGAGGAACTGCTTGCTTTGCTCTTTCCTCCTGCACCCTGTCTCCAACCCCCTTCTTCTGCCTGGCTACCCTGACACCTGTTCCGATAGCTTCACCACCTGTGGAGGCTGTTGGGCTACCTGACCCGTGGTTGCCTTTCAGGCAAAATGAGGCCAAATCCCTTCCAGGCCAGCCGGAGGGAGATTGCAGTGTCCCGAGTTTTTTCTTGTGGTTTTGCGGGACCTTTTCGGTGGGGGAAGGGTGGGGTCTGGGGGCTCACCCCCTTCCCAGCTCCCCTCCTCTCTGACCCTGTGTTTCTGCTTCCCTCCACAGGAGTGAACCATGGAGCTACGTGTGGGGAACAAGTACCGCCTGGGCCGGAAGATCGGGAGCGGGTCCTTCGGAGACATCTACCTAGGTGAGTGTTTCTGGCTCCAGCTCAGTGGGGTCTGAAGCCCCTGGGACAGCCCTGGGGGCTCGGAGGAAAGATGCCAAGATTTCATGCTCTGAAGCTCGACCGTGACTCTGTGTTTTGGTTGTTTTGTCCCAGAACCATCCCAGGTGGGGAGGGAAGCCGCAGGCTGGGGGTAAGGCAGGCCGAGGGACTCCTCAGTCAGGGCAGGAGGGTGGGCGTCTGGGATGTCAGTGCTGCCATCCAGGCTGCAGGAGGTATTTTTAACTCTGGGTTTCTAGCTGCAGATGATCTGGGTTTCCAGCTGGACGTGGGAAAGCCCAGGCTGGGTTAGCACCCCTGTCTTGTCTCCTAGGAAGAAGGATACTGGTGGACAGAAGTGGCCTGGGCCGCTGTTGGCTTCCCCCGCTAGGCCCGCCCCCGCCCTGTGGTCTGGCTGCCTGGAATTCAGCCCAGGAAAACTTTGGAATGATGCAGGCTCTCCACTAACCGCGGGGGCGGGGGTGGTGGTCGTAACTTTTAGAATCTCTCTCCCCGGATGTGCTTCCTGTTGAAAGGCTGAGCGTGGTCTCCTGTTGTTAAGTAAATCACTGACATCTCACCCCACCCCTGTCCTTGACCCCGGAGAATGCCACTTTCTCAGCAGCCTGGATGGGGGTGGGGGGGCAAAGTCAGGAGGTGGGACCCTCCCTTGGCAGTTGTTGGTCCAGAGAGAGAGACTGTGTTGGTTGGTCGAGAGTGGGAGTTGTTAGGGCGAGGTGGCAGCCCCTGGGGTTTCTCCCCGTCGCTGTCCCGGTGCTCTTGGCAACATCTGTGCCTCTGTTTCCCTCCTGGAAAAAGAGTCGTTGGTCAGTTCTGTCCTGAGCGGAGGAAGCCGACAGGTCATTGTGCCTGGCTTGTTGCTTCAGACCTCAGAGGGTTTCTCTTAGACAATGGTCTGGGTCCCTGCCCTCTTGGGGTATGAGGGCTTCTCAGTGGGCCACTGCTTCCCCATCAAGGTCAGGGGAGACATATGCCCATGTTCTTCAGGAAGTGCTTGTGTTGCGAGCCCTGTGCGAATGTGGTCTCTGCTCACAGCCGCCTCTGGGGACAATGCCGAGCTGTCCCCGCTTTACAGATCGAGACAGGGTGGAATGGTCACGTTGGCCACCAGGACTTCTCTCCAAAATTAGAAAAGACAAGGCATTCCCTAGCGGTCCAGGGGTCAGGATTCTGTGCTTCAATATCGGGTGCAGTTTCGATCCCTGCTCAGGGCACTAAGATCCCGTGGGCCAAGTGGTGTGGCCAAAAAAGAAAAAACAACAACAACAAACAAACAACTAGAAAAGGCAGACTTTCTACCCACAGCCCTCCAAGGAGTGAGAATGTAGAGGACAGGACGTGGGAGGGAGCCGTCAGACCTGGCTTGGTGCGGTCGGTGAGGTTTGTGTGATGCAGCAGGTTTGTTTGATGCTGCTGCCTGGCCGACCAAGGACTTCCAGGGGAAGTCTTCCATAGGGGAGAGCGTCTTGTAGGCTGGCAAGTGCCAGCCGAATGTGCACGTCATGGTCAGGCACCTAGTAGACCACCCTCCTGGAAATACCGCAGAGCCCAGGGCAGAGGGGGAGGGGACAGTGCAGGCTGATGGAAAGGTCTGCTCTGCGACTCCGAACTCCTGTGGGGGTGGGGGAGGGGCACTGGCTTGCATCCATACTTTTGCCCCAGGGCTCAGCACGTGGGGGTTCAGTGAAAGCCTCTGAAATGAAGGAATGAGGAAATGGGGGCTGTGACATGCAGAGGCCTGTGAAGTGGCCTCCTTCGTGGCAGGGGAGAAGAAAGTTGGGATGTGGGGGGCGAGTTCAGGTCCCCCGTCTATTTTTCATGGGCTTTGTAACCTGGGATAAGTCATTTTCTCTCTCTGAGCCCCAGCATTCTCATCTGTGAAAGAGGGAGTACCCCATCTCCTTCCTGTTTGTGAAATTGGGGTGGATATAAAGGATCCTTTTATCGTGGCTGCTTCGGGCTCAGGACTGAAGCCTGGAGCCGATGGTTTAAGGCAACTTTTGGCAGGTGCACACCTGCTTCTAGACAATGCTGAACCCCAGGCCTTCTCTTTTGCAGAAGGGAAACTGAGGCCCCAAAATAGAGGGCAGCCCAAGGTCATTCAGAAAGCCAGTGTTCCTGGTCCTCCCTGGGACAGGACTTCTGTTTATCCAGTAATCATCTGTGTGTGTGACTCACTCAGTCGTATCTGACTCTCTGCAACCCCATAGACTATAGCCCACCAGGCCCCTCTGTCCATGGGATTTTCAGGCAAGAATACTAAAGTGGATTGCCATTTCTTTCTCTAGAGGATCTTCCCAACCCAGGGACCAAACCTGGGTCCCCCGCATTGGAGGCAGATTCCTTACCATCTGAGCCACCAAGGGAAACCTTAATTCCCAGTAATCATCTAGTTCATTTTAAAATCTAGGTCTGAGTTTACTCCTCCAATTTACTTTGGAGTAAATTCTACCGGGCTCTGGGTACTGGCCTTTCTTTTCCTCGCTGTGTGCCCTTGGACAAGGGATGACCTCTGCCAGCCTTGGCTTCTCTATCTGCAAGGTGGGGTCGTGGGACCCCCAGGGTGGCGAGAAGCAATGAGATCACGGCGCACAGACCCTCTGCACGCGCTCGACCCAGGAGTGGTGCTTTTCTGTGGTGTACCCCAGCCTTCAGTCTTGGTTAGGATTAGCTACTGTCAGAGGAGCTGGGTCCTCTTGGGCCTGAGCGGGGGGCTGGGAGCCAGTTCTCCACTGACTATCCTGCCTTCGCCAGTGCACAGGCCGCAGGGACCCTGGCCTGGTGCAGTGTCCTGCCAGCTCCTTCCTGGGCCCCTCTCGCTGGCATGGGGGTGGCAGGGATTGTAGGGCCTGCCCGGCTGGCCTCGCTGGCTCCCTTCGTTCAGAGCTCTGGCCACATTCTCGTCGCTGGTGCTGGCGCCAGGGCCTGACTCCAGATGGCCTCTGCAGGTGGGGCTGGGCGCGGCCTCCAGGCCCTGCTTTCCAGGATCGAGCGAGGGCAAGCATATTGGTGGATGTGGCTTCCTGGCCTGTAGTAGTGCTCTTCAGGCTCCTCCTCCCTTGCCCTTGGCATTGCAAGGGGCTGGCCGGCAGGTGTGGCCCACTTTGTTAGGGCCTCACCTTGGCTGCGTGGGCTCTGGAGGTGGCCAAGCTTGTGCCACCTACTCTCCCAGCCGCTGACCAGCTGCCCTCAAGAACTCTCTAGACCTCTCCTTAGTCTCTGGGCCTCAGTTCTAAATGGGGAGGGGATGGTGCGCCCCAGTGGGTGATTGTGGGGAGTGCTTCAGCCCCATCTTCCATCCAGCCAGGTCCCTGATTGTGCCGGTGTCTGAGGGAGCCCCCACCTGAGGTTGCTCATCCCCCTCCCCACCTAGAACTTGCCGAGGTCCCAGACCCTCAGGGGCTAGCCGGGCCGAGCCCTTCTCGGTGTCCAGATTTGTTTTCCAGACTGTCTCATCCCGCCCCCCACAGATCTGCTGTATCCCACCGAGGGGCCACCTCTGCTGCCCTTGCCTGGCACTTTGTACCTAGTCAAACTTCTCCACTGTCCCTGCCACAGAGGGTGAGCTGGGCTCCTCCGAGGCGGGGCCGGCTCAGGGCTCAGTGTGTGTCTGTTGAGTGATGAATGAGATGCTAGGGAATTGAAATTGAGAAAAAAGCAGCGGCTCCAGAGATGAAGTTTCAGATCCTGGCTCTGCCCCAGCCAGTTCTGTGTGACCTCAGGCCAGTTACTTAACCTGTCTGAGCCTCAGGTCCCCAGCTGTGAGAAGTAAGGGAGGTCTGAGAGAGGACTTGGGACTTCCTGGTGAGAGTATGAGGGCAGTGCGGGGATCTGGTGGGGGTGGTGGGACCCGGAGGCAGCTTGGCAGCAGTGGGAGTCAGACGCCTTTGCCTAACAGCTTAGGTCCCTGCTCGTCTTTGGTGTCTCAGTTTCCACACACATCGAATAGAGATACAAGCAGTAGTCCTTGCAGGATGGTGTGTAAGAGCTCACGGGGCCCGAAGACCCCTCCCCTTCACCACCCCTCCCCCATCTCAGGGAGGGGCGTTCCCCCTACACCTCTGCTCTCTGCACAATCTGCTGAATCATAAGTGCTGAAGGCCCTGCGTCACCTGGTCCCTGCCCCCTGCCTGCACGGGGCTACTGTCATCTGGACAGTTGCAGCAGCCTCCATGCAGATTCCTCCCCCCACCCTGCCACCCAGACTTCAAGTTCTCTCCTGTCCTTCCAGATACACCAGTGGTCCCAACAAGGGGTGGGACCACCAGATTTTGTCACACACAGGACATTTGGCAAGGCCTGGAGGCAGGTTTGGTTGTTCGCTCAGGGTGGGCAGAGTCGGGGAGGCTGGAGAACACCGTGCAGTGTGCAGGATGGCCCCATCACGGAATCATAGGGCCTTGTAACAAGACAGCCAGGCCTGGTGCCCAGAGGCTCAGGCTGATGCCTAGGACTGTGGCACTTGAGACCCTTCCCACCTCCTCCGCTCTCGCCTCTTCAGCTGTCTGCTTCAGCCCCCTCGAGCACCAGCTGCACCAGAACCACCCAGAGCTCACTGCACCCCACTCCCGTCGGGCCTCTGCATGTGCTGTGACCACTCTGGCCTGGTCCTTTTCACACCACAGAGCCCTTGCAGCCTTTCCTGCCACTGCTAGGCTGGTGGACTGCAGTGAGCCCCAGCCCCCCGCTGCCCGCATCCTCACTGTCCCCCCGGAAACATGCAAGGCTTTCCCCAGTAATGAGTGTTGATGTTTCAGAAGCACCTTAGAGTCTGCAAAGCACTTTCTTTTCTCCCACTGGGCACTGAATTTGGGGATCTGCTTTATTTTTTTTTTAATTTTAATTTTATGTGATTCAGAAATGAAAATACAACTGAAGTCCAGAATACAAAAGCATGCCAAGTGAAAGAAGCCAGTTACGAAAGATCGCACATTGTATGATTCCGTTTGTATGAAGTGGCAGGAGTAGGCATATTCATAGAGACAGAAAGTGGCTCTGTGGGGGTGGGTGCCTAGATTAGGGGGGGTGCTGGGGGAGGTGGGGAGTGACTACTAAGAGAATAGGGTGTTTTGAGGATGGTGAAAGTATTCTAAACTTGATTGTGGTTTCGGTTGCATAACCTTGTGAATGTACAAAAAAAAAAAACACTGAATTTTAACAAAGATTTTGGGAAAAAAAAAAAAGGGGGCAACATATAACTTAGTATCAGAGAAATGTCCTTTCCCTCTCCTGCCCTGCAGCCTTGTGTATTTCTCATGTTTCTTTTCAGTGTTTCTTTATGTAGATACAAGGAAACACAGATACATATTGTGTCCTCCAGCATAGAATACATACTGTTCTGTACTCGCCTTTTCACTTCCTGTATCTTTGAGATCTTTCCACTTCTGCACCGAGAGAGCTTCCTCATTCTTTCTCCATTGTGTTCCGCTTTGTGGATGGGCCTTTCTTTATTTAACCAGGCCCCGAGCTGGACATTTGGGTTGTTTCCAAGCTTTTGCTGTTGCAAACAGCCTACAGCCCACAGCCTCATCCAGGCCTGTTTTGCCCTGTGTGTGCCTGTTGAGTAAACTCCCCCAAGTGGAAGCTGGAGGGATCCAGGTGGCCCTGCAGCCCGGCTTCCCCAGTTCATACGGGGCCTGTCTGCTGCGGAGGGGAGCCCCCGGCCCACAGACAGCGCAGGCCAGCTTACATGGACTTAGTCTTTCAGGATAATATTAACTTAGATTTTTCTCTTACGGGAGGTTGGCTCTTTTCATGAGTAAGCCATTTTTATACCAATAATTTCTTTCTGTCTCCATGAAGTGTGTGTTTCACTCCTTCAGCCTGTTTCCTGTGGAGTCGTTGGTCTCTTTCCTACTGATTTGTAGCTGCTCAGTCTGTATCAGGCTTCCCTGGTGGCTCAGAAGTTAAAGTGTCTGCCTGCAATGCGGGAGACCTGAGTTTGATCCCTGGGTCGGGAAGATCCCCTGGAGAAGGAAATGGCAACCCACTCCAGCATTCTTGCCTGGAGAATCCCATGGACGGAGGAGCCTGGTGGGTTACAGTCCATGGGGTCCCAGAGTCGGACACAGCTGAGCGACTTCACTTCTGTAAAGTGTGTGTTTGACTCCTCAGCCTGTTTCCTGTGGAGTCATTGGTCTCTTTCCTACTGATTTGTAGGTTCTCAGTGTATATTAGTGTGATATTAGTTCTTTGCCCTTGATAAAAGTTATGAGTATGTATTGTCAGTCTTTGGACTTTGTTTCTAGTGTTTTTGCCATGGGGAAGGAATTCTGCTTTTGGAGGGGAGGGAGACTTTTTTTTTTAAAGGCTTCTGGATTTTAAGTCAGGGATAAAAAACCTTTCAGTTCAGTTCAGTTGCTCAGTTGTATCCGACTCTTTGCAACCCCATGGACTGCAGCATACCAGGCCTCCCTGTCCATCACCAATTCCCAGAGCATACTCAAACTCATGTCCATACAGTTGGTGATGCCATCCAACCATCTCATCCTCTGTCGTCCCCTTCTCCTCCTGCTTTCAGTCTTTCTCAGCATCAGGGTCTTTTCAAATATGTCAGTTCTTCGCATCAGGTGGCCAAAGTATTGGAATTTCAGCTTCCGCATAAGTCCTTCCAATGAATATTCAGGACTGATTTCCTTTAGGTTGGACTGGTTGGATCTCCTTGCAGTCCAAGGGACTCTCAAGAGTCCTCTCCAGCACCACAGTTTAAAAGCATCAATTCTTCGGCACTCAGCTTTCTTTATAGTCCAACTCTCACATCCATATGTGACTACTGGAAAAACCATAGCTTTGACTAGATGGACCTTTGTTGGCAAAGTAATGTCTCTGCTTTTTAATATGCTGTCAGGTTGGTCATAGCTTTTCTTCCAAGGAGCAAATATCTTTTAATTTCATGGCTGCAGTTACCATTTGCAGTGATTTTGGAGCCCAACCATTGTTTCCCCATCTATTTCCCTTGAATTGATGGGATCAGATGCCATGATCTTAGTTTCTGAATGTTGAGTTTTAACCCAACTTTTTCACTCTCCTCTTTCACTTTCATAAAGAGGCTCTTTAGTTTTTCTTCACTTTCTGCGGTAAGGGTCATGTCACCTGCATATCTGAGGTTATTGATATTTCTCCCAGAAATCTGGATTCCAGCTTGTGCTTCATCCAGCACAGCATTTTTCGTGATGTACTCTGCATATAAGTTAAATAAGTAGAGTGACAATATACAGCCTTGACATACTCCTTTCCTGATTTGGAACCACTCTGTTGTTCCATGTACAGTTTTTAACTGTTGCTTCTTGACCTGCATACAGATTTCTCAGGAGGCAGGTCAGGTGGTCTGGTATTCCCATCTCTCGAAGAATTTCCCACAGTTTGTTGTGATCCATACAGTCAAAGGCTTTGGCATAGTCCATAAAGCAGAAGTAGATGTTTTTTCTGAAAGTCTTGCTTTTTCGATGATCCAAGGATGTTGGCAGTTGATCTCTGGTTCCTCTGACTTTTCTAAATCCAGCTTGTACATCTAGAAGTTCTTGATTTACGTACTGTTAAAGCCTGGCTTGGAGAATATTGAGCATTACTTTGCTAGTGTGTGAGATGAGTCCAATTGTGCAGTAGTTTGAACATTATTTGGCATTGCCTTTCTTTGGGAAACCTTGTCTACCCCCAGATTAAAAGCAATGCTCCCTTCTTTTAACACCTCATTGTTTTATTTTTTAAATTACATGTATAAAACATGTGCACCATTTAAGGCACTCTTCTCACCACTAGTTGGAGGAAGACAGCTCTGTCACCCTGAAAACCCCTAGTACTCCACCCCATCCCACCCTCTGCTTCCCCCACACAGAGCTAATGACTGTCTGAATCTTAAATTTTAAGTTATACCCTTTTATTGAGGAGTTTTATCACATTTATGTCCCTAAACTATACATAATTCAGCGTGGAACGTTTTGAAATTGAGACAATCAGAACTGTGCTTGCATCCTTCTTTCTCTTCCTTCCTCAGGTTTTTTCACCCTGAAATTGAGGTGAAATTCACATGACATACAATTAACCATTTAAGAATTAACCATTTAGTGGCCTCTAGTACAACCCCAGGGGCTCCCCTGGTGGCTCAGACAGTGAAGTGTCTGCCTGCAGTGCAGACCTGGTTTTAATCCCTGGGTCGGGAAGATCCCCTGAAGAAGGGAATGGCAACCCACTCTGGTACTCTTGCCTGGAAAATTCCATGGATGGAGGAGCCTGGTAGGCTACAGTCCATGGGATGAGTTGGACACGACTGAGCAACTTCACTGATTCACTAGTACAGTTCCAGTGTGTGTGGCCACCATCCCTATCTAGTTCCAAAACATTTTCATCACCCAGAAGAAAACCCTGCACCTGTTTAGTGGGGTAGCCTGCCCTGTAGCCTGTCCTACTTCCCCCTGTCCCCAGTCCCTGGCAGCCACCAGTCTAATCTTTATCTGCATGGGTTCACCTGTTCTGGGCATTTCATATAATGGAATCAGACAGTTTTTGCCCTCTGGAGTGTGGCTTATCCACTGCACACTGTGTGTGTAAGGTTTGTCAGTGTCGCAGCCTGTGTCAGTGCTCGGTTCATTTTTAGGGACAGGCAGAGTGGCTCTCCACGCCTGCGCTGATGGACTCTCGGGTGTCTCCACCTTCTGGCCTTTGTAAGCAGTGCTGTGCCTTGCTCTCTGCTCAGAGAGGGTTCGGGCGCAGAGAGCTACCGCATAGCCATCGTGCCTGTCTCACCCTGCGTGGGGCGTCCCTGGGCATCTGCCCGACCTTGTGGCCATCTTCTGGGGCTGGATGTTGTGGTCCTTTGCTGCTGTGCAAAGGTCCTTGCTTGGCCTCCTAGCGCTCACGTTTCTGAAGGGTGTACCCTTGGAAGTGGCCTGGTTTGACCGAGGGTCTGTGTGTGTTCAGTTTTACCAGACAGAGACCAACCTGGCTTCCAAAGTGGTTGAGCCAACTTACACTCCGATCTTTGCCCCCCATGTGATCGTCTGCTCCACTCGAGGCTTGTGGTGCGTGGCATGAGCTGTGTTGTCTTTCCTCAGATTTCCGGCTGTTCCAGGCACGTTTGTGGTGGAGCCCCATCTCAGGCGTCCCCGGGTTGAGGTCATGGATTTATCCTGCCCCCCTTCTTCCAGCGGCTGTGTCCCGCTCTGGACTTTCTGTGTTGTCTCTGTGCTGAGATCACACCATTTAGTGATGGCAGCTATAGACCCCCTTGACTCCCAGCAGGAGAAGGCCTCTCAGCTTAGCCCCCAGCCTTCTAGCTCAGCCTACCCGTGACTGTAGCTGGGGAAATTGAGGCCCGGTGCAGCTTGGATTGGGATCTTTCTTGAAATAGCCCTGCCCCTCTGCCTGCTGTCTTCCTCGGCTCCACACCCCACTGATTGCTCCTCTCTCCAGCTCGGGAGACCTCAGTGGCTCCACTCTGCAGGACACAGCTCCCCTGAGTGGTCTGGGAACGCTTTTGTCCCTGCCCTGACCCCTCACATCCGGTCGCCTGCTGCCCCAGCCTCCGATTCTCTGCATGGCCTGCAGCCCTCCGCTCCTTCCCCCAGCATGTGCTGCAGCTCTGGTTCTCCCTTCCTGCCGAGGCTGGGTCAGGGGCCTGCTCTGTGCCCCTCAGTTCCTCTGCTTCCCGTGGATACAGCCCGGGGCCTCTGCCACCTTTCAACCTCTTCCCAAGGGACACTGAGCTGCTCAGGGGCAGGCCTGGAGTGGTCCTGGCCTGGGGCTGCCTGGCCAGCTGAGTGTGGCCTGGGTCCCCCTGTCCCCGCAGGTGCCAATATCGCCTCTGGTGAAGAAGTTGCCATCAAGCTGGAGTGTGTGAAGACGAAGCACCCCCAGCTGCACATCGAGAGCAAATTCTACAAGATGATGCAGGGGGGAGGTGAGGGCCGGAGGGGCAGTGGGCGTAGGGGTGGGAGCTCTGTGCCTGTGCCTTGGGCACTCACACGGGGAGGGGCCCAGGGACTGGTGGGCTGGGGAGTGTCAGCGCCTGACTGCCCCGCCTCCCTGCAGTGGGGATCCCATCCATCAAGTGGTGTGGGGCCGAGGGGGACTACAACGTGATGGTCATGGAGCTGCTGGGGCCCAGCCTCGAGGACCTCTTCAACTTCTGCTCCCGCAAGTTCAGCCTCAAGACCGTGCTGCTCCTGGCCGACCAGATGGTGAGTCCCCCCACCTCCTCCCTCGGGCCAGGGGGACACTGGGTACCCAGCCAGAGGATGCTGGAGCAGGAAGCCGTGATAGCGACATGGGACCGGGACCAGGGGACCTTGACCATCAGCCATGGCTGGGGGAGGAGGTATTAAAACACAGACTGCCAGTTCCCACTCCAGACCTGCTCAGCTGGGCTCCCACGGAAGGCCTGGGACGCTGCCCTCGGGCGACTGTAAAGCCATGGCCACCCAGACCTAGGGCCTGTTCCCACGCAGCGGCCATCGGTGAGCTGCTGGGCCTTGTCCTCAGGACTGGCTCCCCCCGTGGAGTCATCTGGGACACCACCTAGTGCCACGCCCATGGACGAGCGCTGCTTGCATCCTCAATCCTTTTATAAATTCAAGGGAGGAAAAAATGTTAAAAAAGTAAAGCGCAGGATCCTGGCCCTGGGGGACTTTCCTGGTGGTTTAGAGGTTAAGACTTTGCTTCCAACTCAGGAGGCGCATGTTCGATCCCTGGTCAGGGAACAAAGATCCACATACTGCATGGCACAGCAAAAAAAAACCCCAAAAATCCTGGAATGGTACATGGAGATCTTGTCCCCCAGGGTCTGTGTCTGTGTCTGCCCTGCAGAAAGTCCGCAGACATCCTGTAATTTTAGGCTAAATGTGTGTGCGCAGAGAGGGTTGTCATTCTCACAGGACATGAAACTCAAAGAAGTCTAGGTTTTTTGAGTTTAGGAAATATTCAGAAGCTTGAGGCCCAGGGAGGGGGCCAACCTGCCAGAAGACAGATTGTGTGCGTATTTATTAACATGTGTTTCTACACTTGATCTTAGCCAAAAGGCCGAGAAGCAACGAACATGTGTTTCTAACGCATTGTTGAAAGGAAGGTTCTCGTGTCTCCCTGACTTTGGTATCCTCCAGCCAGAGATTAATTCCTGCCTGTGTGCTTCATCTCTGTCTCCCCTGCCCACCAAGCTTAGGGTTCTGTGTACTCCTGTTCCCCCAAGTCTGGCTGGCAGAACAACCTCCGAAATGCCTCTCTGGTTCCTTGAGGGCCTCCTCTGTACCCTGAGGGTATAGAGCCAGGCAGATGAGGCCTGAATGCCTTTCTGGGCTTCCTTTCTAGATCTTGCCATTCACTTTCCTGCATCACAGTGAACCTGATGAATCACTCCATCAGAGTTTCTCTCTACTGTCACTTCCTCCAGGAAGCCTTCCCTGACCTGCCCCTTCGAAATCATCATACATGGTGGTTGCAGACTGATACTGCTCCTCTGCTTGTGGCAGGGGTCCCCATCCATTGGAAGGGGACCACGGGTGTGTTTTCCATTTGTAGGGCCCCAGCCCCCAGTCCAGGCCTGGCTCCGAGCATCTGGCAAAGCCTGCTCCCCCTGCCTCAGCACTTGCTGAGTGACTTGCTCTCCCCTCCCCCAGATCAGCCGCATTGAGTACATCCACTCCAAGAACTTCATTCACCGGGACGTCAAGCCCGACAACTTCCTCATGGGGCTGGGGAAGAAGGGCAACTTGGTGTACATCATTGACTTCGGCCTGGCCAAGAAGTACCGGGACGCCCGCACCCACCAGCACATCCCCTACCGGGAAAACAAGAACTTGACTGGCACTGCCCGCTACGCCTCCATCAACACCCACCTGGGCATCGGTGAGTGCGCAAGGCCTGGGAGCAGAGGGTACCTGTGGGCTGCCCGCCAGGACCTTGGCTTCCTTCTACAGCCTGGGTTTATTCCATGGCTGGTCACACAGGCAGGTCTTCTCCTTCTCAAGAAGCACTCTTTATCTCATGCCTCAGTCATCCCCACAGCAGCCTTGGTGAGCGAGGACGTGTCCCCATTTTTACCGGGTGGGAACTGCAGGCCCACCGTGTGACACAGGCACTTTAGGCCATGCTGCTTAGCAGGCGTTAAAGTCGGGTCTGACCCAGCCCTGTTTGATGCCTCTGCTTCGGCCTTATTCACAGGGTGGGCTGGGCAGGGAGGCCCCGGGGTGCCTACTGCATAGTGGCTAAATGGATGAGAGCCTGAGCTGGAGACACTAGGCCTAGGTTGAGTAAGCAAAGCCCAGCCTCAGACCCCTGCCCTGTAGGAGGGGTAAGAGTGCAGCCAGCATGTGGGGGGTAGGGGTGGGCTCGTGCTGAGTGCACAGGGGGGGTTGTTCACCTTAATCAAAGACCCCTGGAGAAAGGGGGTCACTCAGCCAGGAGCCCAGGTGGACCCTGCCCCTCACCTTGTCCTTTTCTCTGCAGAGCAAAGCCGTCGAGACGACCTGGAGAGCCTGGGCTACGTTCTCATGTACTTCAACCTGGGCTCCCTGCCCTGGCAGGGCCTCAAAGCGGCCACCAAGCGCCAGAAATACGAGCGGATCAGCGAGAAGAAGATGTCGACGCCCATCGAGGTCCTCTGCAAAGGCTACCCCTGTGAGTAGCCCGCTGGGGCAACGAGCTTAGCCTGCTGTCCCCAAGGCCCCTTCTGAGGGGCCAGCGAGGCTGCACAGAACCTGTTCTGGGCCACCACTGCCCAGCACTAGAGCATCCGTCACTCACAGCTCTGTCGTTGTTCAGGGTCAGCTCATGTCCCCAGCCCACACATCTCGCAAGGGTTGAGTGTCAGGAACAACTCCAGGGTGTCCTACATTTTAACTCACTTCTGATACTACCTCCCTGGAGGAAGCATCAGACCCTGCAGTTAAGGGCTCAATCCTACATGGCTGTTCCCACCACACTTCAGATGCCAATCACGAGTCCAGGTTGCCGCCTGTGCTCCTGATCAGCTGGCTATAAATCTGAAGTTTCGCTCTTCAGCTTCGATTAATTTGGCTCACTCAAGTCAGGGAAAGACATTTCACCAGTTTTTGATAGGATGAGATAAAGGATACCGATGAGCAGCCAGTTGAAGAGAGACACATAGGGTGAGGTCTGGGAGGGTCCCGAATGCAGGAGCTTCTATCTTGAGTGGAGTTGGGGACGTGGTCATCAATCAGGAAGACCTCCAGACCCCATGCTATTGTGATATTTATGGAGGCTTCATCCCATCAGCATGGTGACCATTAACTCCGTTCCCAGACCCCCTCCCTTTTCTAGGGAAGCGAGTAGGGGTGGGCCCCAGGAGTTCCAACCTTTTGATCATAGCTTGGTCTTTCTGCTGACCCGCTGCCATCGGGAGCCACCTGGAGTCTCCTCCGTTGAGGACTGGACAGGATGCTCCTTTCGCCCTCACCACTTAGGAAATTACACGGGCCTTAGGCGCCCCAGGAGAGGAACCAGTGTGTGTGTGTTCTCTTATCTCACAAGGGCCCTCTCTCGCCTCTGATGTTCAGAGGAGGAAACCCAAGTTTTCCTCCTGTGGCTTAGAATTTCCATCAGGTTCTCAACTGTTTTTGGGGTAGGGAGGACGTCGTCCTGACCCATCTTAGGTCAAGGGCGGGGCTGGGTAGGACAGCGCCATGGTGGGGGGGGGCCCTGGGAGCATGGGCCTCATGACGGCACCTTCTGTCCCCCCTGCCCCCCGCACCAGCCGAGTTCTCCACATACCTCAACTTCTGCCGTTCACTGCGGTTCGACGACAAGCCCGACTACTCCTACCTGCGCCAGCTCTTCCGCAACCTCTTCCACCGGCAGGGCTTCTCCTACGACTATGTCTTCGACTGGAACATGCTCAAATTCGTGAGTCTCCTGAAGGCCGAGGCGGGCTTGGGGGACTGGACCGGGAAGGCCAACGTGACCCTGTGGTGGGCGGGGCTCCCGGAAGCCGGGTGCTACGAGCTGGACGGCGCACGTGACCCCCACTCCAGCCTCATCCGTGCGGACGGCCTGTGCCGCCGCGATCAGCCGGGCCCAGGTGGGGCGCTGCCTCCCACTGGACCCAAGAGGGCCCGCCTGGGCCTCCCGTCCGTCCTGGGCACCTGGGTGAGCCGGGCCCGGATGGCACTGGTGGGCCCCCCCGCTGTCTTGATCCTGGCCTGCAGCGTCTTGCTCTTGGTGCCCTGCACGTGCCAGCTGGTGGCCTTCGCTGAGTCCCCCTTGGCCAGCCTGGACCCCTTCATTGTGGCTTCCTTCTCCCTGGTTGTGGCACCCTGGGTCTTGCTAGGCACCTCTCTTCTCTCTCTCTCTCTTAAGAGTCGTGGGGGTGGGGTGGGAAGTGTTCGTCCGCTGGGCCTGGGACTCCGGAATCTGTGACATCCTGTGTCTTGTTTCACGTCTCTTCTGGAGAAGGGGGCTTCCTCGAGCCAGGCTCAGCCCCGCGACAGCGAAGCTGTTGCACTGCCCAGCCCCCGCCCCTGTCCCTGTGTCGGGCCGGCGAACCCACCCATGTACTGGTAAGCGCCTCCAGGCTCTGACTTCTCCGATACTTACCGCCTGGTGGGGTGGGGGAGCCCAAGAGGCTGAGCCTCCGCTGTGCTCTCTCTGTCCCTTCCAGGTGCCCGGCGCCCCTGGGCACCCAGGGCCCTCCACATAGGCCCGTGGAGGAGGTGGAGGAGCTGCCCCCCCAAAACTACTGGCCTGTGGTCTGGACTGCAGGGCCCCAGTTCTGACATCACCAGGTGTCCCCAAGCCCATCGGGGCCAGGCCTGAGGAGACATCCCTTGACGTGGTGGGGGTACACTGGAGAGGGCGTGGCAGAGAAGGCCCTGCTGTGAGATTCTTGGGGACGAATCAGCGGCCTGATGAACAGAGCCTGAAGGAGATCCAATGTTCCTTGCCCGGGAGGGCCTGGTGGCAGTGGACCCCAGGAACAGCCTTGGCCAGAGCCCGCCAGCAGCCTCTGTATTGAACCTGAACCCATTAAACGCCCCTTCCTGGACTGCGTGTCCTCCTGACTGCCTCTTTTCTTGGTGGGCACCCTCCTGCCAGATACTCAGGACTGAGGCCTTGTTCTCCAGGACCCTGGGATCGGCGCTTGGTCACTGATTGGCGCTCTTTCTGACTCTCAAGACAGCGGCCTAAGAAGCAAGGCAGAGGTTGGGCGGAGGATGAAAGTGTCCTACAGGCTGGAGGACCCCAGGGGTGGGAGATGGGCAGTGGCACCCATCACCACAGATCTTCTGGCTGGGAGCACAGCTCTCACCCCAGGGTGCTGTTTAGGGTGCTGTGCACACCCTCTCATCTGTGTACAGAGGCATTCGTGAGTCTGGTTCGGGGCCGAGTTTGGCCCTTCCTCTCGGTACAGCTCCGAGAGTGGATTTTGCAAAGTCTGGGCCTATGCCTGCCAATGTGGCCACTGGCTACGTGTGGCTGATTTTTCATTAAAGTTAATTAAAGCTGAAAACATACTTCTTCTGTTGCGTTTGCCATATTTAAAGTTTTCAGGAGCCACAGGTGGCCAGCTAGTGGCTGCCACACCCGTCAAGGTGGATATGAACACATCCATCATTGCAGAAAGTCCAGGGGCACCTGCAGCTCCAGACGGCTCCTCACAGAGCCTCTCATGGGACCATCCAGCCCACAAGATCTTGCCTCAAACCAGGCCAGGAGCACTCTCTCCACCCATTGCTGGCACCCTAACCCCTTCCTGGAGTTCCCGTCGAGGCAGGCCCTGGAGCCAAAAGCTGAGCAGAGGTGCCAACCTCCCTCACCGATCTCTGACTTGAGGGCCATCGGACTGGATAACTGGGCACCTTTGACCCTGTCCCCGCTATGGTGAGCTTGACCGCCTCCAGCTGCCCCTGGCAGAAGTATCTGTGGACACGCCCTGGGGACCTTCACGTTTTCACTAGAGACCAAGCTCCTCCCACTTCACCCCTCCTGCCCTGCCTGCAAGAAGCCTTCACCAGCACCTGCCAGCAGACCGGACACCATGCTGGGCACTGAGGGCTGCAGACTCTTCTGTGGGAAGGATCCTGTCCTTGACTGAGAACTTCCCTCCTTGGAGGGGCCACGCCATATCGTTCAGCATCAGGGCCCCAGAGTCCCCGGGTACCTGGAGCCTGGGATGCTGCACAGAGCCACTGTATTCTGAAGTCCAACCAGCCAGCCAGGTGGAAACTCAACACTGCCAACGACAGGGGTCTGCACGACACAGGGGAAGGCTCGTGTGACTTGGACACTGACCTTTTGTGTCTTCTCATGGGCCAATAAAAGCCGAGAGACCTCCCTGGTGCGCGTTTCTTGAGGCATCACTTGGGTTGGGTGGATACGAGCTGAGTGACTCAGCTCCTCCTGCCTCTGTGGGCCCGAGCCTGCGAAGGGCGAGAGCTCCAGCCCTCTGCTCAGCCACAACCCCTGGGCTGGGCACCTCTGGGGGAGTCACTTGACTTCCCTGAGCCTCAGTGTCCCCCCACCAGCGAGTGAGTTTGGACCTGCCTTGCAGGGTGGATGCGCCCCCTCCCCGAGGGGTATTTAATGAGTGGGCATGGCAGCTCTTGTCACAGGTTTGGCCCTGCTTCTGGCTCAGTCGTTCTCTCCCCCCATCTGTTAACCGAGTGGGTGGGAGCCTGGGGTGAGGACCGGGGGTCAGGCAGGAGTGCCCTGGTGCTTCCCGGCCTGTCTGGACAGGCTTGAGGGTGGGAGGACGGAGAACGTACATCTCTAGGATGTTCTGCTGAGTCCTCTGGGAGCACGGAGAGTGGAGCAAGACTGGGACATAGCCCAGCTCTGCCCTGAGCTATGCGGCCCTAGGCCTCCCGAGGCCTCTCTGGACCCTGGTTCTTCCTGTAGGATCCAAGGATCCTCTGATCCCCCAGCCACTAGCTCCTGGAGTTGCTTTTAAGTCCAAAGCCAGCCCCCATCTCATCTCCGAAGGACAGTCGGGCCTTCTCGGCCGATTCTCTGGGAGAGACAGGGTTATAGGAGCCTGTGGCCCATGAGCAGGCTGCCCCCCCCCACCCCCCGACTCAGCCTGCAGCTCTCTCCTTCACAGATGCGGCCCCCCTCATGCCAGCCCCCCGCCCTTCCCTGTGGACGACCCCAGGACCAACTAGGTAACGCGGCTGCTGCCGCCCCCATGCCGCGCTCCTCTCTCTGGGCCTTTCTCCTTTCCTCCTGCACTGGGGGTGGCGGGGCTAGAGGGCAGAGCCCCCCAGGGGCTCACGCACCTCTTCCACCCCTGTCTACCTGCTGTGCCTCTTTCTTCCATGGGGCATCTAGCCCATGCCTTCTCCAGCTCCCATCCCAAGCAAGGCAGCATCTGTGTGGGTCCCTTGGGCCTCTTAGTTGTGAAACCATTGCCAGGTCTAGGGGAAGAACAGCCCTTTGAAAAAATCCCCCTAACTGGGCCCTGAGAGGCCTGGTTGAGTCCTGGCCCCGCCTTCAGCTCGCTTTGTAACTTTTTTCTCGACCTCTGAGCACCTGCCCTGCTGTGTTTGGAAGCGTCAAGGAGCCAAGGGCCCTCTGTACATGGGGGTAGGGGGGACCTAGGTCGGTTGGCCATCCTGGGGCATCAGTCCTTCCAGCTCTGACTCCAGGCCCCATGAGACCAGGACAGAGTGACCTTTCTCTGCTCCCCAGGTCGAGCTTCCTCTTGGGCAGTCTAGTGGCTTTGTTTTTTCTCTGTGCGGTGTGATCAGGGGGCATCTCCGGGTCTCTCGGGCTGCCTGCTTTGTGGGGAGGCGGTGGGACCAGAGGGTTTCTGAGACCCCCCCACCCCTGGCCTGCCTCCCCTGCTCTGACCCCGATGGAGTACCAGATCCCGGAGCTCCCCGACCCTGCAGGGCTGACCAGGCTTTTCGTCTCATGCCTGCAGGGTGCAGCCCGAAACCCCGAGGACGTGGACCGGGAGCGGCGAGAACACGAGCGAGAGGAGAGGATGGGGCAGCTCCGGGGGTCGGCAACCCGGGCCCTGCCCCCTGGCCCGCCCACGGGGGCCACCGCCAACCGGCTCCGCAGTGCAGCGGAGCCTGTGGCTTCCACCCCTGCCTCCCGCATCCAGCAAGCTGGTGAGTGTGCACCGCGGGCAGCGGGCAGGGGGCGCAGGGCAGCCAGGGCCCTGGGTGCTGAGGGCAGCTTCCCTCTTCCCCCGCCCCTCCACATCCGCCTCGCCTTCCAGGCAATACTTCTCCCAGAGCGATCTCACGGGTCGACAGAGAGAGGAAGGTGAGCATGAGGCTACACAGGGGCGCGCCCGCCAACGTCTCGTCCTCCGACCTCACTGGGCGGCAAGAGGTCTCCCGGATTTCAGCCTCACAGGTGAGCTGCCCTTGCCCCCAGCCCCTTCTGGGCCTCACCGCTTCCCCAGCAAGGCAGTGGGAGTCGGGACCCAGCCCTCTGCCAGGGGGCCCAGCCTGGGTGGGTGGCAGGGAGCTCACAGCGGAGGGGCTTGTGGTCCCTGCCATCAGCACGCCCCCGCCATCCCCAGTCCGCACAGGATGGAGGGGTGATCGGACCCCATCGGGTGGCCCCCACGTAGGGACTGTGTGCGGACTAGGAAAGTGGGGAAGGGAGGATCTGGAGTCCCGCCCCAGGAAGGGGTCCAGCAGAGGTGGGAGGGAGAGCCGCTCTGGACCTCCGGAGGTGGTGGTGGCACCCCAGCAGGACAGATCGAGAGCTGGGAAGCCCACGGCCTTGAGCAGCTGCTGGGCCTCCCGGGGCCACGTGCTTGTCTGCAAAATGCGAACATCTGGGGTGCTTGAGATCACACACCCACTCCTTCTCCTGCGCGAGGGGCTTGGCGGGGTAGAACACTACGGTGGGGAGAGACTTGCCCAGTCATCCTGCCAGCAGCTCAGCCCTTCCCACCCTTCTGCCTCCCTTCCTCCCAGACAAGCGTGCCATTTGACCACCTCGGAAAGTGAGGAGGAGCCCCCATCGGACCAGTATTTGCTTAGGTGAGTCGACGTCTGCTGTAGTCACAGCCCAGCCGGGTCTGGACCCCCATGGCCCCCAGAGGAACCCATGGTTGTGCTTTGAGCAGGCCCAGCACACACCAGCTAATTTCTGCTGGAAAGCCCTCTGTCTGTATGGGGCTGACCTTCCATCCCCACGCTGCCCTAACTGTTCTGGGAAGTTGGTAGCAGGGACGGAACCCAAGGGCCCACCCTGTGACCTTCCCCAGGGCTCTAGCCCGGGTCTCAGTCTCTGGGCTGTTACGCTTCATTCATGCAAACCACTTAGAGTAGAGCTTTGAAGTCAGGAGTTTACCTGCTCTCTGAGAAGGCCCTTGGTGACTTCCCCAGCTCCGGTGGCGGGAGGGGTGGGGCGCGCCCTCTGGTCAATATGAGCCTTGATGGGACCTGTGGTTGCATGAGGCTTTGAGGTGGGGTGTTACAGCTCAGCTCTCTGGGGCCCCATCTGGAAGGCGGATGTGGCAGGGACTAATTTGGGGGGGTGTGTGTGTCGGGGAGGGGTAGTCTGAGCTCCTGGGGAATATGCACGTGGCTGGCAGCAGCTGACACTTCAGGGGCTTGACCTCACATCAACTGCGTATGACCTGCTTTGTGGACATGTATCCCACACGTAGCTCTGGGCCAGCATTCGGGGTTCACCTTTGTCAGCCTCACGCCCAGGAACCAGCCCCATTCATGGCAGGGTGGGGTGTTTGTGTAGCTGGGGGGTGGCTGTTCACCAAAAGAGAGGAGAGAGTGATTCTGTGTCTTTTCTGTGAAAATGGAGCACTTACTGTGACTCAGATGGTAAAGAATCCGCCTGCAGTGCAGGAGACCTGGGTTCGATCCCTGGGTTGGGTAGATCCTCTGGAGGAGGGCATGGCTACCTACTCCAGTGTTCTTGCCTGGAGAATCCCCATGGACGGAGGAGCCTGGCGGGCTACAGTCCATGGGGTCGCAGACAGTTGGACACGACTGAGCGACTAAGCACAGAGCCTTGGGGCTGGGGAGACCGGAGCAGAAGGCGGCTGGTGGATGGGTGACTGGGACGGATGCCCACCTGATCTGTCTTCTCTCTCTCCCTTTCTAGTGTCTTCACTGTATTTCCTTTAAAACAACAACAACAACAACAAAAAGATGGGGAAAAGAAACCACTCAAAAGAACAAAAAGAAAAAAACCCAGCACAAAACCAACGATGGATTCTGTTCAAATTTTTTTTATTTTTACTTTTTTTATTTGCTGATGGCAAGAAGATGGGATACCCTCGGCACAGAGAATCCTGTCCCTTCACGTTCCCCGCCGCCCACAACCTTCAGGCTGCCAGAGGCTCCCAGATACCAGGCTACACTCACTGATGCCACGGCCCCGCCCAGCCGCCACCTGACTTGGCTGGGAGGGACATTTCCGCACTGGAGCTGCAGTGGGTCCTCACAGGCCCTCGGGAAGTGGCCCGAGGCGCTGGGGGAATGGATCGGCTGGTCAGAGGCAGGTCCTGCTGGGTGTTCATGAGCCTGGGGACCTTAGAAGATAAGTGCAGGCCCCACCACCCCCTGAGATGAAGGTCACCAACTTTCTGTGTTGGGCGTTCGCCAGTGCCTCCGTGAGCGTAAGGGTCGCTTCTCTGCCTCCCCACAGAGACCTTGAGGAGTGGGGTGGTGAGGCAGTGGGGCTGAGAGTCCTTGTGGGTGTGTATGTATCTGACCTCTGTCTCCCAGAGCAGCAGGTGTCCCGCCCGCCTGCCAGGCCGACTCTTCTTATGCCCCTGACAAGGACATGGGGGTGGGTGGTGACCTCCATGTCCCTCAAGAAGGGCACAGATGGTCCTTGCCACCACCGACCCCTGAGACTGTCCTCGGCCTGTGGTCCCGCTTTTTTGGTGTTGGGGCAGAATCCGTGGAGACTACTTCCAGAAAGCATCTGGCTCCTGGGTTAAGAATTAATTCCCTGGTTCTGACACTCACCTGGGTTCCCCCTTCCCAGTGTTCTGTCTCTGTCAGGAGGAGCCTGGAGTTCAGGGTTGGGCACTGGATTTATCCATCCCACCTAGTTAACCCTTTTTTACTTTATTTTTTTTTTTCCGTGTGTGTATTTCCTAATTTATTTACCTCTGTTTCCCCTTTTATTCTTTCTTCTTTTTTTTAATTAAAGAGCAAAGCTTTTTATTACTTTGTAATTTAAAAAACTGAAAAAAAAATACTGAAGAACTTTGGGGGGAATTTTGTACTTTTTTCCTGTGTAAATATTGGACTTTTTTGAGCTTTATTGTGGTTGTTAATTTGAAGTAATAAAGTAGAAAAGGATAAAGTGACCTGGGAAGCCCTTGGTCCACCTCTTTGCTCTGGGGGCTTCTCCCCAGCAGACCTGGCAAACCGGGTGTGGCTGGGGGTACTCGAGCGGTGCTTGCTACCTCCTTGGGGCTATTTCAACCCTTTGCTTCAAAATCAACACACAGGGACGTTCCTGGTGGTGCAGTGGTTAAGAATCTGCCTTGTATGGGCTTCCGTGGTGGCTTAGTGATCAAGAGTCAGCCTGCCAATGCAGGAAGCACAGGTTTGACCCCTGGTTCCGGGAAGATCTCACATACCGGAGGAGCGACTTAAACCCGTAAGCCACAGCTGTCGGACCTGTGCTCTAGAGCCCAGGGCTGCCACTCTTGAAGCCTGCACACCTATGGAGCCTGTTCTGTGCAGCAAGAGAAGCCACCGCGATGAGAACCCTACACACCACGGCTAGGGAAAAGCCCGAGCAGCAATGAAAATGCAGCACAGCCAATAAGTGAATAAACAAAATCCGCCTTGCAATGCAGGGGACACGGGATCAATCCCTGGTTAGGGAACTAAGATCCCGCGTGCCACGGAGCCAAAAATACTGAAGCCCATGTGCTCTGGATCCTGTATGCCACAACTTGAGAGTTCATGCACTGCATGAAAGATCTGCGTAATGCAACCAAGCCCTGACACAGCCGGTCAAGTCAGTTCAGTTGCTCAGTCGTGTCCAACTCTGCAACCCCATGGGACTGCAACACACAAGCCTTCCCTGTCCATCACCAACTCCCGGAGCTTGCTCAAACTCATGTCCATCGAGTCAGTGATGCCATCCAACCATCTCATCCTTTATCGTCCCCTTTTCCTCGTGCCTTCAGTCTTTCCCAGCATCAGGGTCTTTTCCAGAGAGTCAGTTCTTCACATCAAGTGGCCAAAGTATTGGAGCCTCAGCTTCAGCATCAGTCCTTCCAATGAATATTCAGGACTGATTTCCTTTAGGATGGACTAGTTGGATCTCCTTGCAGTCCAAGGGACTCCCAAGAGTCTTCTCCAACACCACAGTTCAAAAGCATCAGTTCTTCGGCACTCAGCTTTCTTTATAGTCCAACTCTCACATCCATACATGACTACTGGAAAAAAACAGCTTTGACTACACGGACCTTTGTTGGCAAAGTGATGTCTCTGCTTTTCAATATGCTGTCTAGGTTGGTCATAGCTTTTTTCCAAGGAGCAAGCGTCTTTTAATTTCATGGCAACAGTTAGCTAGCCATCTGCATTGATTTTGGAGCCCCCCCAAAATAAAATCTGTCACCGTTTCCATTGTTTCCCCATCTATTTACCATGAAGTGATGGGACAGGATGCCATGATGTTAGTTTTCTGAATGTTCAGTTTTAAGCCAACCTTTTCACTGTCCTCTCATCAAGAGGCTCTTTAGTTCCTCTTCGCTTTCTGCCATAAGGGTGGTGTCATCTGCATATCTGAGGTTATTGATATTTTCTCTCAGCGATCTTGATTCCATCTTGTGCTTCATCCAGCCTGGCATTTCTCGTGATGTACTCTGCATATATGTTAAACAGGCAGGGTGACAATATTCAGCCTTGATGTACTCCTTTCCTGATTTGGAGCCAGTCTGTTGTTCCATGTCCAGTTCTAACTGTTGCTTTCCTGACCTGCATACAGATTTCTCAGGAGGCACATATGGCGGTCTGGTACTCCCATCTGTTGAAGAATTTTCCACAGTTTGTTGTGATCCACACAAAGGCTTTGGCATAGTCAATAAAGCAGAAATAGATGTTTTTCTGAAACTCTCTTGCTTTTTTGATGATCCAGCGGATGTTGGCAATTTGATCTCTGAGTTTTCTAAATCTGGCTCGAACATCTGGAAGTTCTTGGTTCATGTACTGTTAAAGCCTAGTGTGGAGAATTTTGAGCATTACTTTGCTAGCTTGTGAGATGAGTGCAATTGTGCAGTAGTTTGAACATTCTTTGGTATTACCTTTCTTTGGGATTGGAATGAAAACTGACCTTTTCCAACCCTGAGGCTACTGCTGAGTTTTCCAAACTTCCTGGCATATTGTGTGGCATCATCCAACATAGCCAGATGAATATTAAAAAAGAAAAAACTATACACAAACCACCTGGGGACCTTGTTACAATGCAGCTTCTGACTCGGGAGGGCTGGAGTGGGCCTGAGGGTCCACATCCTAACACGTTCCAGGTGATGCCGGGACCCTGCTGAGTAGGGAGGGTTCAAAGCACTCTTCACAGCATTATTTTATCCACAATTCTGAGTTATCTTAACCACTAATCCAGAGTTAAGTATTAACCTCTCTGCCTTCAGATGAAGGAACACCATGAAGACAGTTGTGCCAGAGATGACCCTGGACAGTCTCTTCAGCAAAGCCCAAGGTCCGATAAAGAAACAGCCCTCAGCCTTAGTGGCCTTTGTCTGACCCAGCTTATCCAAGAATTGGTCTAGCAGTCCATGTTTATCCAGCACACATTGCCGGCCTATTTTTCATTCATTAACCCAAGAGCCACTATTACCATGATCTCTGCCCACAGGCAAGAACTCAACTTGGGGAGGGGATGCAGGGCTCTGAGAGGCCCCTTGTAAGTCGGGCATTGCTTAAAATCCCCATAATTCAAGTCTCTTCCAGTGCTGGCATTCCACAGTCTGGCTCAGCCCTAGTAAAGGGTCTCCTGCTGGCCCTTCCTGTGAGATTGCAGAAAAGGTGGGTCCTTAATGCCTGCGTGTGTGTTAGTCATGTATTGACTCTGTGACCCCATAGCCTGTAGCCCGCCAGGCTCCTCTGTCCATGGGATTTCCCAGGCAAGAATACTGGAGTGGGTTGCCATTTCCTTCTCCAGGGGATTTTCCCAACACAGGGATTGAACCGGGTCTCCTGCATTGCAGGCAGATTCCTTACTATCTGAGACATCAGGGAAACCTTGATTCCTCAGTTTCCAGTTCAGTTGCTCAGTTTTGTTGGACTCTGTGACCCCATGGACTGCGGCACGCCAGGCTACCTTATCCATCACCAACTCCCGGAGCTTGCTGAAACTCATGCCATTGCTGATGCCATCCAACCATCTCATCCTCTGTCATCTTCTCCTCCTGCCTTCAATCTTTCCTAGCATCAAAGTCTTTTCTAATGGGTCAGTTCCTTGCATCAGGTGGCCAAAGTATTAGAGCTTCAGCTTCAGCTTCAACATCAGTCCTTTCAATGAATATTCAGGACTGATTTCTTTTAGGATTGACTGGTTTGATTTCCTTGCAGTCCAAGGAACTCAAGAGTCTTCTCCAACACCACAGTTCAAAAGCATCAATTCTTCAGTGCTCAGCTTTCTTTGTGGTCCAACTTTTACATCCATGGGCTTCCCTTGTGGCTCAACTGGTAAAGAATCTGCCTGCAATGTGGGAGACCTGGGTTCCATCCCTGGGTTGAGATCCTCTGGAGAAGAGAAAGGGTACCCACTCCAGTACTCTAGTATTCTGGCCTGGAGAATTCCATGGACTGTATAGTGCAGGGGGTCGCAAAGAGTCAGACGCAACTGAGACAATTTCACTTTCCCACATCATACATGACTACTGGAAAAACCATAGCTTTGACTATACAACCCACCAGAAAAGGCCAGAGGGTCCTGCTTTGCAGCAGTGAACCACATGGAGGCCTGCCTTGGAGCAGGGTCACTCTCAGCCCCTCCCAGCTGTGGGCCCTGAGGGGAACTACAAGGAGCTAATCTTTTTTAAAAAATATCTTTTTATTTATATATCTTTTGCAGTGAAGGTTTTAGTTCCTGCTAATACGAATGTGCTTATTTGCTGTACCCTACAATATACGTAAGTTTTGGTTTCCCTGGTGGCTCAGGTGGTAAGGAATCTGCCAGCAATGTGGGAGACACAGGTTTGATCCCTGGGTTGGGAAGATCCCCTGGAGAAAGAGATGGCAACCCTCTCCTTGCCATTTTTGTTACCAGTATTCTTGCCTGGCAAATCCCATGGACAGAGGAGCCTGGTGGGCTACAGTCTGTGGGGTCTCGAAGAGTCAGACACAACAGAGAGTGACACGTGCTCACACTAAAAGCATATGATGTCTTAGTTGTTAAGTCTGATTCTGTGACCCCGTGGACTGTAGCCCACCAGGCTCCTCTGTCCATGGGATTCTCCAGGCAAGAATATTGGAATGCGTTGCCATTTCCTTCTCCAGGGGATCTTCCCCACCCAGAGATTGAACCTGAGTCTCCTGCATTAGCAGGCAGATTCTTTACCACTGAGCCACTAGTTAGTTAGTTCAGTCTCTCAGTCATGTCTGACTCTTTGCGACCCCATGGACTGCAGCACACCAGGCATCCCTGTCCATCACCAACTCCCAGAGCTTACTCAAACTCACGTCCATTGCATCAGTGATGTCACCCAACCATCTCATCCTCTGCTGTCCCCTTCTCCTCCCGCCTTCAATCTTTCCCAGCTTCAGGGTCTTGTCCAATGAGTCAATTCTTCACATCAGGTGGCCAAAGTATTGGAGTTTCAGCTTCAGTATTCAGTCCTTCCACTGAATATTCAGGACTGATTTTGGAAGCCTAATACCTATGGGGTAAAGAGTTCTTTACAGACTTTTTTTCTCCCCTTAGATTATATTCTGAGGAAATGTGGTCAGAGCACAGTGCCTGGATGTAACTTGAAATCATTCTTTTTTCTGTGTTCTGTGTGGTTATTAATTTGAATAATGAGTTAGTGTCCCCCTCTCTTTTGGTTTAATTTTTTTTGGAGATATTACATATATGAACATCAAGCTGTGTAAGTCAAGTTATGGGACTTCCGCGGCAGTCCAGTGGTTAAAACCGCCTTCCGATGCAGAGGGCATAGGTTCAGTCCCTGATCTGGGAGCTAAGGTCCCACATGCCATAGAGTGCAGCCAAAAATCACAAATAAATAAAAGTCGAATTATAGAGAGGCACTGCCATCCCTGCCCCCTCCACTGTGTTCCTACCCACGATCATCACTGGTGTCTGGTTTCTCTCTCCTGTGTTTCTTATTCAGGGAGCTAATGTATATGAGAGGGGGTGGTGGCTGACAGCCTCTGAGGAAGTGATATTTAAGCTGAGGCCAGGGAGTGACCAGGATGCGTCAACCAGGCAAACAGTTTATTTTTATAAAGTACGCCAAACAATTACCCGGAAATTTTGCCCAGATTGGAGGGGGCAAGCATGCCACTTAGTGAATCATTTTTGTTCATGCAACAAATATTGGGGCTTGTGGGTGCCAGCGCTGGGCTGAGGGGGAGTGGAGTCCAGGGGTGGGGGGTGGAGAGCACAGAGTGAAACCCAGAGGGCTGGCTTGGTGACCTGGGGCATTGTCTGGGTCTGGGTTTCCTCTCCTGTAAAGTGGAGGTGCTATTACCTGCTTCAGAGGTTGTAAGATTAAATAAAACCACAGATGCTCATAAGGGCTGAGGAGGCTCCTGGTGCCAAGCTCTGTTCCCACCCTCTCTGCTCACAAGCATCCTAGGAGGCCGGTGTATTCTGATGCTCGTTGAATGCATGAGGACATGGAGACACAGTGGCCCATGCTCCTAACCTTCACTCTAGCCCAGTGCTGCGTGAAGTGCTCAGTAATGGTTACTGCATATTGCAAACATGAGGTGTGACTTTGGCTTCCAAGGGCCCAAGTCAGGGGAAAGACTCAAGTTAACCAATGGCTTATCCCAATCCAAAATCTGGTGTGAGATATGCAGTGTGAACCAGGGACAAAGGAGGGAGGCAGTGTATCAGGAAGGTGTTCAAAAATACCTGATCTGAGCCTTGAAACGTGAGTAATTTACTGGGTGGTGGTGGCCTGGTGGGTGGGGAGGAGGGATGAGGTGGGGACAGTCATTCCCACCAGAGGAAACAGCATGTGCAAAGGCCCAGAGGTATGAACTAGCTTGATATATACTCAGAGATCCAAGCACAAAGGGGGAGGGAGGAGATATACAGCCGCCAAGAACCCACTGGCCTGACTTCCA